AGCAGCTTGAGATTCTTGTGAAAAAAACATTTGTCTTTTGCCACTGTGTCCACAATCTTCACTCTTCATGCATAATTTCTGGATGTAGAAGTAGATAATCTTGTCCTTGTTGTAGACAAATGACTGTGGAATCCCACAGATTTACACATTTGGCACAGAAGCCTGTAATTGAGAGGAAAACCAACTTTCTGCTCCATAGAGACCAATGTTAAATTTTGCTTCAAAACATCGTCCACAGAACACGGTACCCCATTTCTAGATCGCCAGTTCAGCCACATTTTTTACACTACAGACACAATTTTTACAGGATCTGTTCTTCAACTCATCCTTCCTCTCATTTATTAATATCGGAGCAATAGGAGCTACGGTTATGGGAGTTTTGAGGATTTGTTTGAGAGGCATTTCCCTGTTTTATCTTCATGAAAAGGCTGCAAGGACACAGGTGTTTCTGATTAAGCTAATTAGTGATGTTGATAAACACCCAGACTCACAGACACACATACACTCATCTCTCTCTCTCTCTCTCTCTCTCTCTCTCTCTCTCTCTCTCTCTCTCTCTCTCATACAGTCATTCAGGTCTTAGAGACTTTTAGAGGACCCCCCCCCCATTTTAAAATAAAAGCCGCACACACATGATTTAGAGATATACGTGATGCAGCTCAGCCAATCAAATATGGGTATTCTGATAAGTTTCCTGATTTGAGTGACATTTACACACACCGCGACACAAGAGGGAGAGACGAGGAAAGACATGGCAGAGCAGGACAATAGTCATGTAAGCTGTAAATGATAAAACATAGGACAATCTCCAAATGAGAGATTGCCAGAGAGATCAGAGTCTCTCTCTCTCTCTCACTCACTCATTCACTCATCCTCTCTCTCTGTGTCTCTCTGTCATACAGTCATTCAGGTCTTACAGATTTTAAGAGGACCCCCCCCCCCCCCCACACACACACACACACACCCCATTTTAAAGTAAAGGCTCCACAAAATGAATTCTAACTGAAATGCTTGTGATGAAGCCTGTCATTTATTAACCTGTTTATGTTTATCTAACATTATGATTATGTCTCCTCTCCCCTTCCCCCCGCCCACACCCCATTTCAAAATAAAAGCCCCACAGAGTGAAATATAACTGAAATGCTTGTGATGAAGCCTGTCATTTAATAACCTCTGTTTATGTGTCAAACATTATGATTATGTCTCCTCTCCCCCTCTCTCCCCCACCCAGATCTGAAGACAGATCACAGAATAAACTCAAGCTTTATATTTGATTAGGTTTCTGATTCACCGTCTGGTTTCAATAAATGTTCATTGTAGTCTGAACAACAAAAGGACCACAAACAACTTTTTTCATTTGTTAGAAAGATTTGTGTTTTCATGATCTGATGTTTCCCTCAATAACTTTTATTATGGAAACAATTAAAGTCAGAGAGAGCTGGAGAGACAAAACACGTTTTACATCATTCCTGAGTGTTTGAGTTTTATCATTTAACAGAAACAATAATCATATTCTGGGTTATTTAGTAATGACGCCACAGTCACAATTTCAAAACATATGGATGCAAATAATTCATGAATAAGACGATTGCATTCCGCCGGTAGAAATGGATCCTGTGCTTATAAACAGAACACAGGACACAGTTTGTTAACAGACTACAGAGAGAAACACCTCTACAGGGGTGATTACTGTGTGTCTTTATTAGTATTATTAGTTACTATTATTAAGTACAGTGATCATGTGAACAGACACTAAAGTCTCTCCAGCTGTTAAAGCCGACTGACAGCTGATCCAGCTGTGATCAGCTGATCCTCCGTCTCAGAAACAGACGTCGCTTCACGTGACGCAACTGAGGAAAGGACGTCTCATGTCTCTTAAAACATATTTCCTCGTTCCTCTCTCCTCGCATGGTTTCCTCCATGCATCCCTGGTGGGAGGGACTAAGATGCAAGGGAAGGACGCAAGTGAGGGAAACGGGGATGCAATTAAGAGACTTGGGATGTACCCTCTTGTGTGTTCATCAACATCACTAATGAGCTCATATCAAACATCTGTGTGCTTGGGTGCATGTGTGTCACTGGTTGCCATGGTGATTGGAGCACCTGTGTGTTAAAGGCTAATTAAGAGAGATTAGCGTATACAGTGATTTTGAACAAAACTACCTGTCAAACCTCTGCCCCCTATACCAAAACCATGAGTCCAATCAACAACATATGGGTATCATGAGAGAGATAAGACTTTGCCGAACGCACTGATGTGGTTTGTGGTTAGAAATGTGAGCTACAGAGCAAAATACAAAACTGGTACCGTTTGCTTTCTTTGAGAAATTAGTGGTCAGATTTAACATGGAGTCTAATGGACCAGTTGGTTGGAGTTCATGTTGCTCTGTGGCTCTTTGAGCCAAATGTGTAAGTCCATTGGATTCCACAGACACCTGCGTGCGACCATCACAAAATGTCCTATCTTTTTGACCAAAATGGTGTATAAAGAGTAAAAATTGTGGGACTGGAAGCAATTTGTTTGGAAAAATCACAGAATACTTTTCATGCTCTGCTCCACTCTGAGCATGATGTCATCACTCTAGCGCTGAATATTCCGTGCAATACACACCCATTATAAAATCTGAAACGGACCAAAAATGTTCCTGAAACTTAAGCTGTGACTTCATGAAAACTGTGCTAGCTATCAAAATGCCCATTGGTCTCAATAAACTCCAGCGTTTTGTTTACGTTTTGAACTTTGAATCATTTTTGTAATGTATGGTTAGTCAATATTATATATAACAAAGTTAAGTGTTTTTTTAGATGTCTTTTCGCCAAAACCCCATTCAAGTGAATGGTACGATTTTGCTCCCGTTTTCGCAATTTTCAGGAAAACCGCTGGCCGAATCTCTGACAAAAGTCATAGCACACCATTCCCAACCAGGCCACTTGTTTTGATGTACACAAAGCCATACTGAATAATAAACCCACAGGATTATAGTCAGTGTGCTTTTGCACAGGCCTTTGTACAAAGCCACACTGAATTACAATATAACAAAAGAGATGGCATAACAATAAGGAACAGCACAAAAACATACATAACTAGCTTCACAGGTTAAAAGCAGATTTGAATAGATGAATTTTAAGTGCAGTTTTGAAAGTGGCGAGTGATGGAGAATGTCGGAGGTGCTGGGAGAGGGAGTTCCAGAGGGAGGGGGCAGCAATGGAGAAGTCCCTGTCTCCCCAGGTCCGATGCTTGGACTGAGTAGGGGGGGTAAGGAGGTTGGCATCGGCGGATCTGAGGTTGCGGTTTGGAGCGTGTCGATGCAGGAGGTCTGAAAGGTATGAAGGGGCAAGGTTGTGAAGGGCTTTGTATGTGATGAGAAGGACTGGGGTGATGTGGTCTCTGGTGGGGTGGGAGAGCAGACGGGCAGCTAAGTTCTGGATGTATTGTAGTTTGTTGTTGATTTTGGTGGATGAGCTATACAGGATGCTGTTGCAGTAGTCCAGTCAAGAGGTGATGAAGGCATGGATGAGTGTTTCAGCGGCTGAGGAGGAGAGGGAGGGGCGTAGATGGGCTATGTTTTTGAGATAAAAGAAGGCGTTTTTTGTGATGTGATTGACGTGGCGTTCAAAGGAGAGGGTTTGATCAAAAATTATTCCAAGGTTACGAACATGTGTGGAAGCAGGAACAGTGGTGCCATCAATACAGAGGGAGAAGTTGTGGTGGGATTTGTTTAATGATTTGGATGATGAGGATTTCTGATTTGTTGCTGTTGAGTTTGAGAAAGTTGGCTTGCATCCAGGGTTTTTATCTGTGCGGCAGTTGTGATGGTGGAGTGGGTGGTGGGGGTGATGGATTTGGTGGCGATGTAGAGCTGGGTGTCGTCAGCATAGCAGTGGAAATGGAGACCATGATGGCAGATGATGTCACCATTATAGGTTGGAAGACTGCATTTAGGAAGGAGGATGTAATGTATCATGTGCAGGTGTAAACTCATCTGACTTCTGGTGTGTTCACGTGTAGACTGATGTATCAACATTGGTTCTAAACAGTATAGAGTAGTGAGTTTTTGTGTGAGAAAATCAGCCCCCCCCCCCCCCCCCCCCTCCAGAAAAAAGCAAACATGGATGCAGTGAAAAGGACAATTTAGTTTAACAGCTGGTTCATTTTTGCCATAATCTTATATTTAATTATTTCAATAGTCGATTGTAGAATAATGAGCTCCCACATCATACAAATACATTGTGGATTTGCACATCCCAACCAACTACTGCTTTGAGACAGAGGCTGCCATTATTCCACCACAGCTTCAAGCATTACAATGACCTTGACAAAGAGATGTTTAAAATGCCAAACATAGCACCACCTTTTAGTTGAACCCATGTATCCCCTCTTATATACTGAGGAAACAGACACTAGTGAATATGGCAGGATGACATTTAGCCGGCTCAGGTGCGTAAGCAGCCTGTCTGCAGTTTCTCTGGGTTTTTGTACAACTTTTCATTTAAATCTTGGAAAGTGCAACTATCTTATCGTGGCAACAGGTAACTTTTCAAATTTCTGACTTTTTTTTCAACTTTTCAAATGTATGTTTTTTGGGCTTCCATCATTAGCAAAGTTAGCGTTGTTTAGATTATCAAATAGACCATGAATCATAATTTTATTCGAGAAGCGCTTGTCTCTGGCTGGTCCTGGGCCCTGTACTACGAAGAAGGATTTGGGATTAAGGAGGTAACTTCGTGGTTAACTCTGGGTTTTTAGTACTAAAACGGGGTAGATCACCATAGTAACTGAGGCTGAACACCTAAACTGCTAATGTTGAAGATAAGAGATCTACTTCTATGAAAGTACCGCCTAAAAAATACTAAAGTTACTCTATAAATTGATGGAAATTTATTTTATTTTTATTATACATTAAGCTCATTTGTAATGCACCAGGAGTTTATCTACACAACATACAACTATTTATTTCTTTCTAGTTTCCGTTGCCTCTCTTCCTGCTTCTTCTTTGCAGACTGTGTTGCTGAGTCCGTCCTCACGAGGAGGTGGATGTGAATCCAGAGCTCTCTTTTCAAACAGCACTGTGAGAGGTTTGTCAGGTGCATCTTAACCTTAGTGATCATTCTGTTGTCCACTGATTTACTGTTGTGCATTATAAAAGAGAACACCGACACAGTCATGTTACATTCTCTGCAGTCATTGTGCCATTCCTTAGGCCTCGATGAATCATCCATCTAACATGTGACACAGACATGCTACTTTCGGTCTCCCTCCCTGTCAAGGCTGATATACGCAAATCCATATTGTGTGATAAATCATTGGTGGCAGACAGACATTGTTCAATTAAACTTTCACACAGTATGCAGACCGTTTACAGAGTATGATGTAATGTGACAGTAAATACACATGCAGTCACATTATAGATTTGTGTGAATGTATATGCAGTGCAACACTGTTGAAACACATTTTATGAAATGGAAAGGTTTCTAAAACTATTAGGGCTATCAGTAAGTGTGTTACTATGGTAACTGGCGTAACGTCCTCTCAATGGGTGGTTTATTTGTGTTAGCTGTTCTGAAATATAAGACATATACCTTTGTGTAGTCAAAGATAGAAGTTGTTTGTTTGTAATTGTAACATTAGTAATATTTATTTATGTTCATAAAAGAACAGAAAGAACATGAAAGTAAACATGTATGTATCTTTCAGGACCGTGACCTCGCTCAGAGCCCACCCTTACCATAAAAAAGTTTTTTCATATATTTATGACTTTACAATATCTCAAGTTTGTGAGTTTTTCTCATCTTTTTTCTCGTAAATTAAAAGTATTTTCTAAAAATATAACCCCCTTCCACCGAATCAGTTATATAATATATATATATTTTTTTTACCTTCGATGGCTTTAAATATTTTTCATACCGTGAACATGATGGACATTTCTTCCTTTTATATTGGGGTGGGATCTTTATATTATGTTGCTGCTGTTGATGTCTTAATTAACTAATTTGTTTCTTACCAAAATATTTTTTTGTCTGATATGTGCCATACTGCGATACAGGCAAGTGAGTGCATTTCTTAGCAAGGCAGACAGAATGCATAGTTAGTGTAGTGAAAGGTAGTGAAGTGTAGTTTTGTGCAGTGTAGTGTAGTGTAGTGAAGGGTAGTGTAATTTAGTGTAGTGTATTGTAGTTTAGTGTGGTGTATTGTAGTGTATTGTAGTGAAGTTTAGTGTAGTGCATTTTAGTTTAGTGTAGTTCAATTTAGTTTAGTATAATATATTGTAGTCTAGTATAATGTATTGTAGTTTAGTATAATGTATTGTAGTTTAGTGTAGTTTAGCGTAGTGTATTGTAGTTTAGCGTAGTGTATTGTAGTTTAGTGTAGTGTATTGTAGTTTAGTGTAGTGTAGTTTATTGTAGTGTATTGTAGTTTAGTGTAGTGTATTGTAGTTTAGTGTAGTGTAGTTTATTGTAGTGTATTGTAGTTTAGTGTAGTGTAGTGTATTGTAGTTTAGTGTAGTGTATTGTAGTTTAGTATATTGTAGTTTAGTGTAGTATATTGTAGTTTAGTGTAGTGTATTATAGTTTAGTGTTGTGAAGTTTAGTGTAGTGTAGTTTAGAGAAGTGTACAGAACTTTGAGTGATTGGCATACTTTAATAATTAGGTTACTTCTTATCCTTACCACACACACATGCATGCACAGAGATACAAGGTACACACGCTGGAACAAGGCAATTACCAGTGTCCTTGGGTGAATGATGCTTCATATTCATTAATATCCTTAATTAATGTAACATGCACATGAATTACTAAATTTTGACCTCCATCTTTTTTTTTACCGGTCATCAATATTTTTACTAACATGATGGCAGAGTAAACAGCAGGGTTTTCCGACAATTAGAAGACTTGGCTATGTGCAGACATGATTCATTTTTGTTAACAGAGCTTGAGAGGGTTTTAAAGGGTGTACTTTATCAGGATATTATAGTATCTCTATATCAGTGGCTTAAATGGTCTTAAAATGACAATAATATTGTTTATCGCAATTATTTCAACGAAATTAGTTCATATGACAGGCATAACTGCATTCAGATGTTTTTTGACACAAATAATATTTACAACATACAGTGAAGCCAAATATATAGCTGCATATATAATAGCAAATTTAATAGCCACAGTTACAAAAATGAGCACACGTTCGAGTTGATGCTCTTTGCCTGAGCTGTGAGTTGTCTGCCAAGGACTCCAGATTTCACTTTAAGTCAATATCATTTAGCCAGACATTGCATTTTCATAAACTCCTAACTCGGCATAGCGTGTGTCTGTCAGGCAGGACGCCACCATCAAGAAGGAGGGACAGAACACCAACACAGTCATGTTACATTCCTTGCAGTCATTGTGCCATTCCTTATAGGCCTCAATGAATCATCCAACCCTAACCCTCACCATAGCAGAAGGTCAAACCTGGCGTAAAAGGATTTACAGAAAAAAATGTCATGTCACTGAATCCTTCAGAGTGAATCTTTTTGGATGTTATTATACTGTCTGTTGGTGATGTGTCGGTTCCTTTGTTCCAGTGCTCTGCACAAAGTTGGGGTGTGGCGGGACAGCCTACAGGCCGCCTGTAGTTAATTCCCCTTTACTTTCAGGTTCATGTAATGTACCCAAATTCACAAAAAATATGTAGGATTCATCCTACAGACGTTCTTGTAATCATAAATCGCAACATCTGCTCTCACAAGTTCAGCAAATTGTTGAAACATTCAGTAAAATCCCATTAGGGGGTTGCACTTCCTACACAGTAGTTACTATGGACAACTTACTATAATTATAAAACAAACACACTGCTGATGATGGCACCAGAAGTCAGCAGATCAGGAGGATGAAGATTGGGGAGGGAGGCAGTAAATTTGGGATTATTTTATCTGGGATTATCCCTTAATCGCAGTTTTCTTTGAATAAAGTTGTTGTGTAAAATGTTCACTGCAGAGGAGGGTGCTCAGCTCTCCATCAATGCGGCTCTTCACATAATTAATCCACCTCTTCTCCATGTCCTTATTTTTTTGTAATTTAAATAAGGTGACCAAGCTTTTTTTGAAAATCCTGGCATCCAGGGAATATGCATTTGCGGGAAATCGAGGAAGGCATAGCTAGATAGCTAACTCTAGAAGGTAGTGTTGTAACTGAGCAGTGCTCTAGTTATTGTATAGTGTTAGGGGTGGGTTTATGCTCCACTGCGTCATCGAGCCATGATTCCAGACCCACCGAAAAAATCCTGAACACAAAAATGGTGAAAAACTGTTTAACGGTCAAACTCCATATGTTTTAAGTAGGGCTGGGCAAGTTAACACATTCATTAATTAACGCCAACAATTATTTTATCGTGCATTAATGCAGTTTTTTTAATTATTAAGCGGACATTTTTAACACAAGAACCGGGCAGCGAGCGGTGAACAGCTGTGTTTGTGTGGCGTCTCTTCCTTCTCTTCCTGCTTGCTGCCTTTTAGAGTTTTTAAAGTTTTTTTGTTTGGAATATGTATAATAAGCATATCATTTAGTTATCGCTACTGAGAATTTAACAAACTTTAAAAAAAAACATAACGTAGATAGGTTTGCAGTTTTCAAGGTGTATATTTCAAATTGCATCTATAAACACCGGCTGAATATCTATTAGAATCATTAGAACTGTATTTTAACCGCTACTGTGTAAAGGGAATACTGCTGTTAAAAAGCACCATATTTGTTTAAAGTGTTTGCAAACCAAATGTTATTGCACTTTTGTTCATATATCAGTACTTTTAAAATAAAAGTGCACAATACACTACTTTTGAATTCATTATTGAATTTTGCGCATAACAATGCGATTAATCGCAGAAGATCATGCGATTAATCGTGATTAAAAATTTGAATCGTTGCCTAGCACTAGTTTTAAGCAATCATTTTTGTATTGAGTTTTGTAGTGACAAGAATGGGTATAATTTGAAACCCCCCTTTAGGCTCAACCTCTTATTAAGCTCCATTACTTGTCTATGAATGAAAGGTCTTGAAATGTCTAGATTGTCACTACTAAGGTTGGAGCCTTGAATCTATTTGAAATAATATTTTGATTTGTATTGGCCTCTCACTTCCTCTTCCTCCCAGTTCATTCACTGTTATGTAATCTGTCTGTCTCATAGGCCATCATGGAGGAGGCTGACCTGCTGAGGGAGAGGCTCCAGGCCATCACGGTAAGTATCCGTCCTGTGCTCCTGGTAGTAATAAGGGAAAGCTAGGATGTAGTCTCTGTGTCACATGTTGAGAGCTGCTTTTCTGACTTACATCCACACTAATATCTCCGTCCACACGGCGTTTCAGCATCGTTTTCGAAATGATCTCCGTCCATACTAATATGCCTGAAAACGAATAGCACGTGACTATTCACGTACACTGGGCATGCGGGTGGGTGGCGGTGTAAACAGGAAGTAGGTAAGTAGATTGGTAGCTTAGTTTAAAAAAATACGACAGAGTAATAAAGTAGTCTTTAATAATGAAAGGTTATGTTTGATACTTAAGATCTTCCTCTGTAAACTCAAGTTTTAAAAGTTTTATTTTTCAGCCTTAGTTACAACGCTGTTGTCTTGCTCTATCTCTCTCACACATCAAATTTACTTTAAAATTAACACATACACATACTGGTTTACTAGATTATGGGTCCATAAATGTGGTCAACACACGTCTCTCACTTGTTTCCTCAGTTTCGTTGTTGTCTGTTCTCTATAGCTCTGCTGGTGGATGAAGTCTCTGTCCTACTAGAGAGCAATTCATGTTTTGTTCCTTTATAGTTTATATGTGTGGACTTCACAAAATAAGCATTAATAAGAAAAGGAAAGTCCTCCGTTTTGTGTCCATGACCCGCCGCAAACCGTGAATTCAGACGTCCGCTCCGTAGGGCTGATAACGCCGCTCACTAATCGCTCCTCCTGGACAACAGCTAACTGGACAACAGCTGCTAGTAAAGACAACAAGGTCAGCAACACCTGTAATCAGTTGTCCATGTTAAATTAACTTGATAGTCGATCGATAATCAAGGCTGTTTGTGATTTTCGAGGAAAGGGTCATGTGATAGGGGCATGACGAATCATGGAAGGACACGTCGTGACTGCTAAGAACCAATCAAGTAGCAAATGCGGGTGTGGGCGTCATCGTTTACAAACTTATGCGTTTACGACACGAAGAGGTAACCCCGGAGTTTTCAAACTTATCCGTCGTCGGGAGCGTTTCCAAACTTATCCGTTTTCGGTGCTCGAAAACTCTGGCGTAGTGTGGACGTTCAGTGTAAACGTAGCAAAAGATATCCGTTTTCAAATGGAAACGTAGTAGTGTCGACATGTTTTTGGGATTATCTTTCTTATTAGGTGGGGAACACTTAACACATAACAATCAACTTTGAGGCCCAATGCTAATTTGCCGCCTCCACCCTCCCACTTTGTGACGGAGTGAACTCTGTTTGAATTACACATATGATGTAAGTCAATTTTACAAGATCATTTTGGAAGTCAAGTAAGTGCAGTATCATTAAGTTTTGCGTGAAACCGATCAGTGAACTACATCTCTTGTCTCATACAATGCACAACGTCACCAACATGACCGATAGCTGGGCCTTCTAGCTAGCTAGGAAACTTAGCAATATCCATGCACAAATGTAAAGTTATCTCACCTGAGCGAGACCATTTGTTGGTGTGAGTACATCCCAGTACGAAGCACACACGTATCGTAACGCAGTGAGAGACGTCACTTACGGGACTTTTGGGTGTGTTGTCTTTCTAATTACGTATTTTCACAGTCTTATACTTTTTTTTTTTACATCGCAATAAAAATTTGTTGACGTGCAAAATTTCTTTCAAATTGGCAATCATCACATGTGTAATTTGTGGCACAATTCAAACAGGATAAAAAAATGATTTGTCCCTTGCCACTGACTACCGTACATGTTTTTCTGAAATGAGCTCCCATGGTGATTAATGGGAAAGGGCGGGACTTGGCCTTTCTATTGGGCCTGAATGTCCACAGAATCCATGGTGGTTACGCAAAAGCTAGAATCAGAGCAGATTTGTTCAAACTGGTCTGATTTGTGTCCACATAAGCCATTTGATGCGGTCAGATGACCAGGTCCAGGTAATTTGTGTGGGTTCCTCCTTTTAAAGGATGTGCACACATCGTCCCTGGATATTATTAGTGGGCCGGAGTCCTGGGCCTTTTGTACCTCCTCAGCCGTGGAGTTGTTCTCAAAGTGTGATGGTGTTCAGTTCATCTTGGGATCTGAATCTGTGCTGCCTAGATACTCTAACTCAGCCATTATTTAAACTCCAGTCAGCTTCCCAGACATACATGGGTTAGGGTCATATACATCTGAAATCCCACCCATATGATCATGGTACCAGAGTCTCTGTGCTCGACAGTCAGACACAGACAGAGACAAAGCTATACATATCAGCAGACATCATCAGGGAGATCCCCTTTCACTGGGGCTTAGTGATCCAAGATCCACAAGCTAATATTAGCCCGCAGTGATCCCACTCACTGTGACATGCTGGGTTAAAGCCATTAAGCAGTGTGTTTGTCTGGGATCATCCAGTCAGGACACATATCTCTCAATTATTAAATGACTCTAAATGTCCAGCTGACAATTAAAACCTATATGAGATGAATTGTCTGTCTGCAGGAAAGAATATTCTAGTAGTTGTAGTGAACAGTTGGACACACACACACACACACACACACAGGTAGGGTCAGGTCATGAAGGTTGCGTTGATGTTTAGTTATTTATGGCTGTCCTGCTGTCAGCTGAAGGTTGAAGTGTCAGCAAGACAGCACAACAGGTGGAATTGTTTCCATGTTGTATAATGTACACATGATGCTAACGTGTTTAATTTGTCCCCAAAGGACAAAAGAAGACTCCAGGAGAACATTGCCAAGAAAAGGAGACAGATTGAAGAGGAGAAATTAAACCTCCAGTACATAAAGGTACTTTTTATTGTAAAAGAAGAAAACTACCATCCAGGAGAGAATGGTGTGCACCGTTCTAACATCTTATTGTAGAAATGGGTCTCCAGCAGACACTGAACAGACACTGCACAAGACTACCAGGAGGAACTCTGGGATAAAGTTCTTGTGATTTGTGACTGATAACACTGCAGCAATCCCTGTTTCATTTGTGTACAAACTCAGACACAATCTGAAGCAAGGCCAGACCTTAACTTCACAAGTATTAAAAGGAGTCCCTCTGCATCAGCTTTATGTAATATCCTCTTTATTCTAAATTTTCCTGAAACTTAATCTGTGACTTCATGAAAACTGTGCTAGCTATCAAAATGTCCCTTTGGCTCAATAACGTCCAGCGTTTTGTCTACGTTTTAAACTTAGAATCATTTTTCTACGTTAATGTATGGCTAGTCAATATGGGCCCAAAGTTAAGTGTTTTCTTAGCTCTCTTCACGACGAAACCCCATTCAAGTGAATGGAGAAACTTTGCTCCGTTTTTCAGGATTTTCGGGAAAACCGCTGGGCGAATCTCTTATAAAAGTCATTGCACATGATTCGCGATCAGGCCGCACGTTTTGATGTATTTTTTGCACAGGTGTTGGCAACGCTGTGTGAGGAGAAGCGTGCCAAACATTTCTGGATAAACCTGATTATTATTAAGCCCGCAGGATTACAGTCGGTGTGCTTTGGCACAGGGAGTTTTACTGCCTTTGTGCCACAAAGCCACACTAAATTACACACTGTTTATGAGACACTGATAATGTTAAATGAGGGGGGACAAACATCAAGTCACGCTTATAAATACTGACACAATGTACAGTGCATCTTTGGATTGTCTCAACAGTGTGACAAAAATGCAAATGCTATCTTTAAATATATCTTCCCTACAATTAGAACTTTGTCTCCTTACGTTTCTCATTGTTGCTAACCTGTCTAATATTAGATTTCATGAGAAGTGCAGTTAAGAATCAGTGTTCTGTGACATCTGTGATTTTGTTCACGTCTTACTGACAAACTGATCTCATGTCCTCTTTAAAGATACTGAAGATGTGGTGCATTTGTTAATACAATGATTATGTCTGGAGTCCCACATTAACTTAGGAAGATGTGCCACCTTTTAATTGGTGATACATGGTTAAAAAAGATATGATTAGCAATGAATAAAATGATCCTAGCTGTATAACTCTGCACTTACTGTTTACTGAACTCTGTACTTACTGAGGGATGGAAACTCTGAGGGCATCTAGTGGAGAAGGGGGGGGGGGGGATCACAAGGTGGCAAGATGAATTGTGAATAGAACTCTAAATCATGTGGGCAGTAACACTTGGTGTGTCTGATTGACAGAAGAAAGCCCTGAGGGAGCAGTGGCTGATGGATGGTCTGAGTCAGCAGTCGGAAGAGGAACAGGAGGCCACGAGGCTTCAGGCTCAGGATGAACAGCAGCAGAGTGATCAGCTGCAAATCAACATCCTCAGGTACCTCCCACACAGCAGGCAGAGAGCTGCAGAACTAACATACCATGTGAGTGAAGGCATTCGTATTGGCTTGAGGTGCACTGATGCTTGTGAAGACTTAGTGAAACTTCGTGATCTCAGTAGAGAGAATCAGTTGCTGCAGAAGCAAATAGTTTCTATCCATAGAAATGGAAAAAAGTTAAAATGAATGCATAGTTTGAAATATATTTGCCTCATAAAAAATAGTATGCTTCATACAAGCTATATGTTATTCTCGATAACAAGGGTGTAGGTTTGGTTTTAGAAGTAAGTGGGACACGATAAAGTAAAAAAAAAAAGAATGCCACACTTACATCAATTTGGCAAAAGACGAATTACAAGTAAATGTGTTATTGTTATGGTTATTACTGGAGCACTTATGGCATATGAGAGAATATGCTCATCCCCATCATGTGGGGATTGGAAGAATTGATGGGGAGCAACCATGAGACGATCACCACCCACGGTCGACCACCCACCCAGACCAAGGTGGAAGCTAAGCTAACTCTGCTATTACACCACTGCTCTACTCCTGGCTGGCTAATGTCCTGTCACAAAATAACTCAGGTTAACCCATCAACAAGAGATCAACATCAGAGATCAACAACCCCATCATTATTAGAGTGAGTGATGAAGTTACATCATTATTAGAGTGAGTGATGAAGTTACATCATTGGTTGAGTGAGTGATGAAGTTACATCATTGGTTGAGTAAGTGATGAAGTTTCATCATTGGTTGAGTAAGTGATGAAGTTACATCATTGGTTGAGTGAGTGATGAAGTTACATAATTATGAGAGTGAGTGATGAAGTTACATTATTGGTTGAGTGAGTGATGAAGTTACATTATTGGTTGAGTGAGTCATGAAGTTACATTATTGGTTGTGTCACGGTTTAGGCTTTGCCCCCTGTGTTCCTGTGTCTCTCTGTGTGTGTGTGTGTGTCCCTTGATTGCACTCATCCTACTCACCTGCCCAGTCCACCCAGCTGCCTTCAATCTTCTCATCACCCCACACATATATACTCCACTGCTTTCCCTGTTCTGGTTGTCAGATCATCCTTGTTCGTTCCCCTGCCTGTCCCTGCATTGTGTCTCCCCTCGTGTTTGCTCAGTGCTCCAGCGTTTGTTCCTTTGCCTTTGTTTTGTGATTTTGGATATTTTTGCCTGCTCCGTTGCGGTCGCTTTCAGTTTGTGTTTATGACTTTTTAAGTAAAGATTATTTTTCAACTTCACCTCGTCTCCTGTGTCTGCTCTTGAGTCTCAGATCTGCCCCTCAGACGTGACAGGTTGAGTGAGTGATGAAGTTTCATCATTGGTTGAGTGAGTGAAGTTACACTGTTGGTCGAAGATATCAGTGAGTACACCTCACCCAATATTGCGGCTTTGAATAACATGTTTGCTGGTAAACGGGTGATGATGCGTTCGCTGACCTCATCGTCAGCTCGGCCTTTTCGAATATGTGCAGCCTATTCCACTCTACTCCACGTTTTGGCCGACATTACTGTGTTATTATGGATCAGTGCACGCAAATTGATCCCTGTGTCAATGGTGGAATGTCTGTCTGTGTGCGGGATAATGGACCTCACTCCAAATTGCCTGTAAACTCAGCAGTAGACATTGTGTCAATGTACCAGGCCTTTGTTTAAAGCAGGCTTATATTACAGACAGGGCTTTATCTCAATTCAATTTATTTTGGAGCCCTCTGTAGAATATTTGACATGGGATTCGGCCTTTGATGTCATAAATTGCCTCGATAGAGCCCTACAATTTTTCTTTTTTTTTTTAAAAAGCTGCAATATTTATATTCATCGCCTATGATATGTGCAAAGTTCCATGACTTTTTGAGCAACCGCGTTAAACGAAAACTAACAATATTCAGGATGAACGATTATCAATATGTTTAGGATAAAATATAGCATTTCCTTTTGCCAGTAGGTGGTGCTATGACTTGGAAAGGTGCTCAGGCCTGAACCAGCATCATGCATGAGAAATTTTGAGCATATTGGACAGCTTGGAGTTACAACAACTTCCTGTTCTGTGGCAAATGGCATGCCACGTCAAGGTCCTTGCATGATCATTTTGATAACTTTTCATCCTTAAGGTGTTAAGATCATCCTGACGACATTTAAAGATGATGAAATCTGTAGGAGTAGTTCGTTAAAATTACTTTAAATGCCTGAAAACGAGGAAAATTTACTAAAAGTGCAGAAAACGGTAGAATTACTGTACCGCCCCCTAGTGGTTGAATGGAATGAAAATGGGTATGTTATGGGTATGCTGTGGTCATATGCTGCAAATTCTGTGACAGGCAAAATGCTTTTGAAGTTATGTGTATTGATGAACAAAGCCACGCCCCTTTGAAGTTCATTGGTCCATATCATCTTAACACAATGAGATATCAAACTTAAAATCAAGTCTAGGGGGCGCTATAGAGCAATTTTTTCATACCCAAACGCAACAATCCTAAACTATCCAAAGTTTCACCAGTCCTGATATGCATTCCAACTTTGGTGAGATTTTGAGCATGATAAAGCCACCAAAAATGCAATTCATTGGAAAGAAGAAACGCTACAGTAGGGTCTTCACTGGCCTGACGTTATCAGTGCTCGGGCCCTAATAAAAATAGCAGTCGGTGTCAGCAGGGCCATGGCAGGAGGCACGTCCACGGTCCGGATAAAACCACGATCCATGGAAACCTGTGAGGAGAGAAAGCACAAAGACTTCGAGGAAGACGCAAAGTTAGTAATGTGGATTAATGGGACATGAAGTCATACAGAAAGAGATAGAAAAGAGGCGATCAGTGTATCCGAGGAAGTCCCCCGACATTCTAGGCCTATAGTAGCTTATCTAGGGGCTGGTCCAAGGCAAACCTGAGCCAGCCCCAACTATAAGCGTTATCAAAAGGAAACCCGACTACGAGAAGAACGGACCCCGGCACACCGGGGGCCATTACCGGCCTCACACCGTCCACAGGCTGAGCCTCGATTAGAAGGACTCAGACCCCCATGGCGACACCGGGCAAGTGGTCTTCCATACACCAATTCAATATATTTTGTATAGCCCAAAATCACAAATTCTCCTCAGAGGGCTTTACGATCTGTACACACTCCCCCCAAAACCCCTTAACAGGGAGAAAAAAGGAAGAAACTTTATGGAGAGCAGCATAGGAGGGATCACTCTATCAGGTGTGATAGATGTCATGTGTACAGAATGAACAACATAACAGAGTTACAACACATTCAATGCATATGATAGAAATGATTCCTAAAATGAGAGTAGTAAGCATAATAATGATGGAAAAATGACAACTAATAATAATAACAGCAGCAGTGGCTATAGTAGGAGAATGATAACAAAAGCAGTAATGTATCAGTACTAATAACATCAATGTGACTAATAATAAAAATGATAGTAGCAGTGGGTGTCAGGCAAGACCACGGCGGGAGGCTGGACCAGGGTCCAGATATAACCACGATCCATGGAAACCTGTGAGGCGAGAAAGCACAAAGACTCTGGGGAAGAAGCAAAGTTAGTAATGTGCATTAATGAGATATGAATTCATACAGAAGAAGAGAGAGAAGAGGAGAGAGGAGCTCAGTGTATCCTAGGAAGTCTCCCGGCAGTCTATGTCTATAGCAGCATATCTAGGGGCTGGTCCAAGGCAAACCTGAGGCAGCCCTAACTATGAACCTGAGGCAGCCCTAACTATGAACCTGAGGCAGCCCTAACTATGAACCTGAGGCAGCCCTAACTATAAGCATTATCAAAGCGGAAAGTCTTAAGCCTATTCTTAAATGTGGTGAGTGTGTCTGCCCCCGGACTGAAACTGGAAGCTGTTTCCACAGAAGAGGAGCTTGATAACTGAAGGCTCTGGCTTCTGTCCTACTTTTTGAGACTAGGAACCACAAGTAACCCTGAATTTAGGGAGCGCAGCTCTCTAGTAGGGTAATATGGTACTATAAACTCCTTAAGATATTATGGTGCCTGACCATTTACGGCTTTGTAGTTGAGGAGACGGATTTTAAATTATATTCTAGATTTTAAACGGAGCCAGTCCAGAGAGGCTAATACAGGAGTAATATGATCTCTTTTCTTAGCTTTTGTTAGTACACATGCTGCCGCATTTTGGATTAATTGAAGGTATTTAAGAACAGCCTGATAATAAGGAATTGCAGTAATCTAGTCTAGAGGTAACAAATGCATGAACTAATATTTCTACATGGCTTTTGAGAGGATGCGCCTGATTCTTGAAATGTTACGTAGGTGAAAAAAGGCAGTCCTTCGAATTTGTTTTATCTGAGAGTTAAAGAACATATCCTGATCAAAGATAACTCGGAGATTCTTTATGGTGCTGCTGGAAGGCAGGGCAATGGCATCTAGAGAAACTATATCATTGGATACATGATTTCGAAAGGTGTTCTGGGCCTCGTAGAATAACTTCAGTTTTTCCTGAGTTTAAGATCAGGAAGTTTGCAGGCCATCCAGGTTTTTATGTCCTTAAGACATGCTTGAAATTTAGGTAACTGTTTGGTCTCATCTGGCTTGATCAATAGATATAATTGGGTATCATCTGCATAACAATGAAAGTTTATGGAGGGTTTTCTGATAATATTGCATAAAGTTAGCATATTGAAAATGTGTGCAGCCTAGCTGCGTAACCAGTAACCCTCCCAGTGTTGATAAGGCACTGGAAGACGGCTTGTTCAGTGACCTCTGACCTAGGTAACGAACGTATCCCCCAAAATCTACACGCAAGACTGTCTCAGCCTGCTTAGGGGAGCAAAGCCAGGATAACTTAATACACTAGCCACCGTCTTATCACTTATTTCAGGCTAAGAAGTCGTCCTCTCCGACAGCCGGATATCAACGGATTTGTGTTTGTGTGCAGGATGGACCCACTCCAAAGGGCCACCACTGGAGGAGGAACTCTGTGTGGTTGGGAACCTTGCTTGGTTATGAAGGGCAGCTTCAGGACGCTGGGCC